AAGTCAAGGGAACTCTAAAATCTCTGGATGTTTTCTAACTCTGTCCTTTTTCTGGCTTTGAGTCTCTTTCTGTCTCTGGGCCTGTGTCTCTCTCCGTTTCTTTCTTTCTCTCCCTTCCACATCTCTGGTAGCTCTCTCCTCATGATCCAAGAGCCACCTTGGCCCTTGGTATGTTTAGACCCTCCACCCACATCTCTCCAACCCTGGAAGACAAGCAGGATCTGCCTATGACCCTCTCCAGGCAGAGACTGCAGGCACTCAGCTGATGCTCACCCAGCAGACAGAGTCTCCAGGCAGCCTTGTGTGACTGCGGAATCACCTCTTTTGCCACCATGCTTTACTGCCTTGTTAGGTGCTCAGTCTTAAGTTCCATGTCTGTCTGTGAAAGGGCGTGAGCTTGTGAGAAGCATCGTTTCTCTTGGATTCTGAGCCCTCTACATCCTGAGCCTTTTGCAGTTGAAGTCCAGTCTGGAATCACAGAACTGTTCCAGACAGCCGAGGTGAACAGTCCACACGAATGGCCCATTACTAGTAGGCTAACAGGACTGCCACAAGGTGATCTGCACATGTTAAATGTCATTCACGTAGTAACATCACACTCACTTGCTCACTTATGGAGAGTGACTGTGCCAGGCACTGTGCTCGGTGTTGGTGGTCCAGTACTGAGTAAGACAGGAGGGAAGATGGATAAGTACCTAGATAAAAACGCTGCCCATAGTGGTGAATGTTGAGCTACCTTCATCAGAGCAACACACACGTCAAGCTCTTAGGCTCAGCCTTCACATCTGCCTACAGTCATAGACCCTGTCCACCATTCTTAGCCTTATGAGAGCTTTGTAACCAGAGAGGCTCTGAAGAAATCAAGCAATGCAGTGAGACAGAGAGTGGCTGGAGAAGCTGCTATATCTGGATGATCAGAGATGCTGTGGCCAATGTAAGATTTTACATCTCTGGCAGTTCAAGACAAAGCACACACGTGCAGAGGGAGCAGCAGATGCAGAAGTCCTACTTGGTGTCCCTTTTTCTCACCAGGCTTGTTTGCTGTGCACACAAATCTGAAAACCTATGATACCCCTATTTCCTATACATCCGGGCTTCTGAAGGCTGTTCTTCCTTAGGAACTCAAGTGGAGGACAGCAGGGCCACGCTCAGCTGTCATGGTTCCAGACGCAACCTCTCCAAACTTCGAGCCTTCTCTCCACCTCCCAAGGTCCCGGTGAAAGAGTGCAGAGCTGCGTACATAATACTGACTACGATACGTGCTTACTGCGTGACCTTGAACAGATTTCTAAACCTCTCCGCGGAAAAAGAGGCCTGCTCCTCTCAGTGTCTGTGAGGATATAGTGGGATAAGGAGAGCAAAGGCTGAGCACAGCCCTCGGCCCCTGCTAGGTCCCGAGCGATAGCGACTGCTGCTGAGAAAATTCTTCTACACTGACATCTCAAGCTAAAAATACCATTCCGCGCGCGTCGCGTGACCTAGAGGCCGCTCTGCTCTTCCATCACCCTCCTATGCTCTGGGTGACTGACGGATGAAGGCGAAGAGGGGAAAGGCTGCGAGCAACCCAAATCAGTCCCAGGCAGGAAGAGGGACGCTGCGGTTAGGACCGCCCGGGCCACTCCGCGGGGCGTGGCCACGGCTCAAAGGCCAACCCAGGCCACTGTTTGCTGACAGGCCTGGGACGGAGAGGAGCAGACAGAGCAGGGTTCACACTGCCCGTCTCCGTGGCAACAGGCACGTCCGCCGTCAGGACATTCCCTAACCCGCAGAAAAACCCTCCCTGTGCTTCCAGGTAATGAAGCAGTCCCACACCTGGCCGCCAGCAGATTCCCCCTATCCAGATCTCTAGAGGAAAAGTTAAACAGAAAGTCTGAGGCCCAAAATGTGTAAATACCGAATAGTTTCTCTGGTGTGAGAAACTGAAAGTGTAAATAAGGATCAAAAGGCATATGATAATGTGAGGAAGAAAAGGTCCAAAGGGGAAGGGGAAATAAGAGGGGTTGGAGAAAGGAAAGAAGGGAATGGGCTTCTTATGAGAAAATGAAAAAATGGAACCAAAGTCTTGGTAAATGGGGAGGGGTGGAGGGGTTAAAGGGAGGGCACGGGAATGGGGAAAAAATAAGAACTAAGGTATATCATGTAAAGGTACAAATTTCTGAGGATGAATGTTGTTATATTGTACACCTAAAATGTACCAATAACATTACTTTAAAAAAAGAAAATCTGAGAATCAAATGTACATATATTTCGCTCAAATAAAGAGCTTATTCCCAGATTTTCCCCCCTGAAATGTACAGGTAGTTTAACCAACTGTTTTTCAGCTGATGGAAACAAAACCAAAAGTCATGATTCCCTACTGATGATGAGGAGAAGTGCATCTTAATACAGTAAGGATGCAGGGGTATTATCATAACGCATGCTCACAGTAGAGCTGACTCCAGGTGGGCTACAAGACAGTAAATTACCCTGCAGAGAAATCTATAGGGTGGATTGGTAATCTCTTCATCAAAAATGAAAGTACCTGCCCTGGTGACCCTTCCCTAGAGCCTAGAAGTCCTATTTGGCTCACTCCCTCAGGTAAGTCACTGGCCACATTGCCCATGTTAGGGTTTCTGGGAAGATCACTCAGGAAACTGCTATCAGTAGTACTCCTTCACTCAGGTTAGGTTCTCAGGAAACTCTCTAAATCATGACCTTGGAGTACTGAGCTGCAGGGCAGGGAAATTTTATCAAGAGAGAAAATTAGCAGAGAGTGCAGGCCCAGCTGGTATCCAAATGGAAGCCCTGGGACACAAGGACCCTAGATGCCTTGGAAAAGTCAGGGGGAGGAAGATGGGGAGGGAAGGGAGAGATCAAAAGAGTGATAGCATCATATTCTGCCTAGATTTTATTTGTTTTCTATTATGCTTATATAGTTTCCTGTCATCACACTACCATAGCAACCACCCACAAGCTCATTTGGTTTTTCTGTCTGGCAAGCATCAAAACACCAACTATAACATATCTCAGCAAGATGCCTGGAGCCTCAGATTTGAGAAAGACCTTCTGTAACAGGACTGATCATATTGTCTTTGTTCAGAATTAGAAAGAAAAATGACTATATTCAAACAGACTGCGCATCCACTGTCCTCAGAAGTGCCCATATGAAGGGCTTGAAATATGGTGTGTCTGAATTGAGATGTGCTGTGAGTATAAAGGCATTTCAGATTTCAAAGACTTGCAAATTAAGAAAGACATATAAATTATCTTGATGATTTAAATATATTGATTATATGTTGAAATAACATTTTGAATTTTATGGATTAAAATATTAAGACTAAGTTCATTTGTTTCATTTTGCTAATGTGGCTACTAGAAAAATTTAAGTTGCATATGCACTTTGTACTATATTTGTATTGGAGAGAGCTGGTCTAGAATATCAACAGGGCTTTCATGTGCAGAAAGAGGAAAGCAAAGTAGAGAAAGGACTATTATTAGTGACAATCAAAGGGTACTGTGAGGCTTTACCACTCACTTTCATAGAACTTTTTTTTTTTTTTTTTGGTACCGGGCATCAAACTTGGGTCCTTGCGCTTGCAAGGTAGGCCTTGGAACCACTGAGCTAAATCTCCAGCCCTTCATAGAACTTTGAAATGCAGGAAATAAAATCATCTTCTGTGAATCAGGGTGAGAGAAATAATCATACAATGGCTCAAGGCTGAGATGTGCAATGTAACCTTAAAAGGCTGGTTTGTATACCTTAAGAAAAAAGAAACTACTTCGGTTACAAGGGATACTGATTAGCAACAGAGCATGGAAAAAGGGATCATGAAACCAGTCACAGCACAGCTTAGGGAGTAGATGTCTGTCCAGACTACTCTGACACTGGTAGGCGAAGACTCCAGTGACTGGACTGACCAAATCTTAATGATTAGTAATCATTGAGCTAGTACAGTACCTGGGAACACTATGTAATCATTATGCTAGGACTGTCCCAAGCAAATCAGGGTATATGGTCACCTCAACAAATTCATCCTTGTTTACTGATCTCATTGCAGCCTTCTTATTGTACCAATTAAGACATTCATTTTTAAATGCACTAAACATTACTAAAAAACCGAGATGCTGCTTATAGTTGATGTGGGCTTCTTTCTCTCCCTCAGTATTATTAGCACATTTTATGAACAATAATATCTTACAATCAAGAGCATAGAGTAATCTGGTCTCCCATATGGCATGACCTGAACGAAAGTTCATGGATCTAAAAGTAAGAATATTCACCAGACAATTGTTTTCTAGTGGAAAATAGCAAGTAGGAATTTTGGTTTTAGGCACTAGTCTCTTGGGAGCTTAGTTAGCTTAAATGGTAACTCAAGAATGACTTCTGGCCAGGCGTGGTGGTACATGCCTGTAATCCCAGCACTCAGGAGGTTGAGGCAGGAGGAAGAATGACTTCTGAATCTACAAGACCACTGGGGTGCATTTACCGAGGTTATTCTGTCTCACGGAAATCTGTTTGAAGCCCCGCTAAGTTTTACCTACAGGAAAATCCTCATGTCAGCATGGATACCATCGTGACCCAGGCCCTTTTGAAACTGGAAGGAGCAGTAAAATGGTTTAAATCCAGTGGATTTAAAAGGCAAATGAGACATTAAAATGAAATTGGAGTTGGAAGGTGAACTTTAATGACATGTGTACAGGCCACACATAATCAGAAGAAAAGATACTGGTTGTGCCTACTATAGTGACAGTTCAGATAAACCACTAGAGCCAAGATGTGACTGTGCAGTTAACAAAACTAGTGGTGGTTTGGGGTTTTCAGCTGCTTTGGCATGCTCCAGCTATTGGAAAGAAGTGCTATAGGTGATTAGCTACATCTGATATTAGTTCATAAGGCAATAGGGTCATAGAATTAAAGCACTATTACATTCAAGTATTATTTTATTATAGATGTGTTCTTTAATGAAATAAATGTAGTAAGATAGTATGCAAAATAAGGCAAACCACTGAAAGTAACTTACTTATTTTGTCCAATTGTCTCAAAATCTTTCACAATGATCTCAAGGGAGGATGAGAAGTCCAATGGTATACCCCTCAAGTCAAACTCCAAAATCTGCCCACACAAAACATATGAAAACAGAAAGGCTGTTAGATGGATTCAGGAACATAAGTAAGATTCACCCATGTTGCATGTTGGGACATTACTTTCACCAATGACAGTCTTTGAATTACTCGATTCTATAGTTAGACAGAAATTATTAAATTCTAAACCTGGAGGCAGCTGAGGGTTGTGAGAAAGCAAACCAGACTCAGGCTCCGAGAACACGTGAACAATGCCTGCCTTCTCATTTTCTGGGTTCAGAAAATGACCTATCTGAAGCATTTAAGATAGATCACCAGACCTCTGACTCACAGAGAAATTGACTTAACACCCACCTTAACTGTTGCAAGAATAAAATGAAGTATATCTGTGAAAATGCTTTTCTTCAGTGGGTATTTTAAAATTGTCTGCTCTTCTTAATCACATTACTATCAAACAAAGAAGATGAATAATCTAAGGAAACATTTTCTAAAATGCATCCACCCACTATTTTTCTAAAATGCATCAGCTCACAGTGGATCAAGTTCCACTGTGGTCAATGTTATACTCAACTGACCTTTTCGAGGTTCTCATTTTAATGCAATAAATTGCTTTCTAGTGATAAATGGGAAAAAAAATCACACCACTGATGCCTTCGACTGGCTGGTGAATCGCACCACTGATAAATCAAGCAATGTTTTGAGGATCCTTGCACGGAATGGAAGGAAAATATGCCTTATGACTCACATAAGAACACACTCACCAATCACAGTACATTTGGGGTTGGATTTTTATTCAGACTTGGTCTCAATTATAAAATGGTAGTTGACATAAATAAATTTGCAATTCCCCATACTGGGGTGGGGGGAGAAAAAAGAAACCATACTGGAAACAAAACGGAGTACAAAATGTTGCAGAAGACATTGCCAGCTCGATGAAAGCACATCTCATTGCCAGAGAGAAAGAACATGTCAAAATGACCCCAAACCTGGAGCTATAAAAACATGCAGAATAAATGTACTTTTCTGTGTTTTATTCTTGAAACTCTGTGTCAGATGCTAGGAGTCCACAGTGATCAATCAGTGATGCCTCCCCATTCTTATGCTGTTGGGGTCCAGCTGGCTGGTCTGGGTTCCAGTGAAGTTACAAAACAGTCAATTTCCCTCAAGACCTGCCTGAGACCAGCAGGGCTTTTCAGAGGTGATAAGAAGCTTTTTTTTATCTTCACTTCATTCAGTCTCATTCAAAGGTAAGATTCAGCCCTTATGTTACAGAGATTTGAAACTATTTGAGAGATGAAAGGATTTGCAGTTGGTAGAAGCGAAGTCTTCACAGCCTGATGACTCCATGAAAACGACAAAGATATTAATCACTACCCCTGTCTATAGAGGTTTGACCAACTTTTGTAATAAACAGTGGGACTAATCATCAGCTTTTAAATAATCCTATTTAATGGGAAGATTTAAAATTTTCACTTATGTATCAAATATTAAACACAGAACCACTTATCAAATATAGATATAAAGTCAACAGTTGAGAAAGGTAAGTTTTATCTCATTCTTTGAATAGAACATTACACAATCATTAAAATACTTTTGAATGGAATGATATGGGTATATACTCAGGATGTAACAGTAAGAAAGAGTCAGATAGGAAATTGCATTTGCTATTTTATGCTAGTGTGTATTTCAGGCATCATATGTTATTATTATTCAATAAACATTCACTGATACATAGTAGCTGTGTCTAGAGAATGGGATCAAAATTGATTTGATAGTACTTACCTGAAGTTTTCAAAATTTCTATGTTAAGTATACAACACTTTTATTAATATAAAAAACAAAAAATGTCATTACTCAACTAGAAGTATCATTAATATGGTCTTAATCACATTTGACCATGTGCAAAAGTCATATGGATTTTTTTCTTTTGTTGTTTTGTTTGTTTTGTTTTGTGGGGCTTTCCCCCTTACTACAGATTGAACCCAGGGCCTCACACATGATAAGAAAGTGCTATACCACTGGGCATCTGCTCCAGCCCCAGATTGTTCTTAATGGCGGAGTTTCCCTTTTGACACTCTGAAGATGATCTGACTCTTCCTCTTACTCTACAGATATTCCCTAGATATGCCATAGTAGTGGACCCGGGTCACACAGTGAGCTAGATGAGGTCTGTCTTCCTCCCTGTTGGCCTCGCTCCGCTCAACACACTGCTGCTCTACTGCAGATACTCATTTGAGTCTTTCTCTTCTTGATCTGTTCTGTTCTCTTAGTGGAATAATGAGATGGAGGGGATGGAGTGAAATACAGAAATCCCCTTTTCAAAGAGAAGAGTTACCCTCTGACCCACAGAAGGACAATCAGACAGTTTATCTAATAAAAATAAAGTTGAGCTGGGCATGATGGCACTCGGGAGGTTGAGGCAGGAGGATCTCTGCGAGTTCAAGGCCAGCCTGGGCTACATAGTGAGTTCAAGGGCAGCCTGAACTACAAAGGGAGACCCTACCTCAAAAAACCAAACATAAATAAATAAAAATAAAGTTTCAAAAACAAGGAAGTCACCTCATTCCAGACAGGGTTGAGTTCATTATCAACTTTCTTTGTTTTCCTTTTCTCATCTGCAAATAAAAAATGAGAGATTCAATCAATTAGAGATAAACAGCATGTAAAAGTCATTTACACTTCCAAAGAACATTACCTGAGAGCCTATATTATGTGCCCACATTTTCCCATTTATCAGCCTACACTGAAGACCACCAGAATCCATATTTTTTCCAATAGAATGGCATTTATTGGTCTATAGCATTTTACCCATCCAAGGATTTGCAAGAAGTTAAGAGATGGGATTCAAAATCATGGAAGTGCCTTAATGCTCTGCCCATCTCTTACCCAGGTTGCTCAGGGCCTCTGTGTCTCCAGCTTGCCGCTGAAAGTGCTGCATCTTTGAAGTGTACCTTGAGGTGCTTTGAGGTGCTGGTATACCATCTTATAGATAAGAATACCAAGATTGAGAGGTATGAAATGTGTCTGAGTTCATATGTGACAATAGAGCCCTGATAGAAACCTGGCATTTTATCTCTAAAGCCTACACTGCCTCCAAGTTTGTTAAAACCCAAACACGGTAAAGGTGAAGCTGAACTCTCTCCCAGAGGCCTTGGGCAAAGGAATCAGGAGAGGAACACTATCTAAGATCAGCCCACTTGTTACTCATAGCCCACCTTTCCTGAAGACTCAACATCTTTTGCCCCTGTCTGAGTCTGCGTGGTCCACCTGCCTAAAGGAGCCAAGGAGTTAATCCAGCCTAGCCAGTGCATCAAGTTTCTCTCAAGCAAAGTCCTAAGAGCAGGGCCCTTCTTGGGCCTCTGTATCCAACACTTTCCAAAATAAAAGCCAGTCTTTGAGTACTGAACGCTGTTAAGCATTTGCTCATATCCTTAGAAACAGCGTGTATTTCTGATGTCATTCCCCTTTCACAGTTAAGAAAGCTGAGGAATAATGTATTTAGTCACTTAATTAAAAAGTGGCAGGATGAGGCTTTGAACCCAGGCAGTCTTACTTTGGCAGGCCACACTTTGAACCACACCTCTGTCTTTCTTCCCCTTTGCTGCTGTGGAATGTAGGGGGTAGTGGCTTTTGTTTAACCAAAAGTCACATTGCTTTTGCTCCCAGCTCAGAGCCAGCTGTGGGAATAGCCAGTTCATTCTTCCAAGACCACAGCATAGCAAGGCTATGAGTCATGGCCCTTACTCCACCAAACATTAACTTTTCCACTTGAGTGGGCATCACATAGTCCAACTGGCTTCCGTTTCTATGTTTCCCTTCTGTAGGATGAGGAAAAAAATGGGAATAATGAGTGGCCAGCTCAGGCCAAGGGACCTTACAACTGAGCCTATAGAAATGGTCTACTACACGTGAATTCTTCCACAAGCATTAATCAACTTCTTCATTTTCCCACCCAACAAATATTTTAAAACTGTTGGCAGGCATTGGGCCGGACACTGTGAGAGATACAAAAATATCCATGACATGGTTCCTGCCTTCAGGAGACAGACGTATAACTAAGAGAGAAAGGATTTCAGTCAGCACCACAGGGATACAGATGAAAATGTAAACTCACAGGAAAGAAAGGGGTCTTCAAGCCTTGGTACCATGAAGGGCTCACACTGGGAGCAGGGGCAGAGCTGGGGATTGAATGACCAGAAGAAATTGCAAATGTGGAGCTGAGAAGAAAAGGCAGAGGCAATGAGGCGGGTGGGTGAGCTGTGGAGCAGGGGAGATCCAGCCATGTCCGAGACTCTGCAGGGGCAAACTGGCTGTGTGGGAAGGTTATGGTTAGACTGGGATTCTTGACTATCAGGCTAAACTTCATATGGCTGATATAAGCCACTTAAGAGACGAGGATATTAGAAACTGAATTTAAGTTTATAATCCAATGAGAAAAAACCAAGTTGCTCCACAGTTCTTCCAATGAATGATTCCGTTGTGTGCTAAGAACAAAGGGGAGCAGCTGAGTCCAGGCAAAAACTGGTTCACCACAGACCACGCAGAGCAATTCAAGTGCACCTTCCTGCAGCTCCCAGCATCAACTGCATGATTCTGATTTTAGGATGGTGCCTCTAGGGGGCATTCCCTGCAAGCCAGGCATTGGGAAGCCTAGCTAGACTACCAGGCAGCTTCTGCTATTGTTATTGTTTGCAAATAAACAGAGTCCAGAATGAAGAGGTAACTAGCTCAAGATCACAGAGCTAGGAAAAACCCTCTAAGCAATCTACTCTGATTCCAGGCCCTTCCATCTAACCCTTGCACTCTCTCATTTCTTTGGATAATATGGGAAACAAATCAGCTGGCATTAACTCCTGACCTTCTGGAGAAACCTAGCTCAATCTCCGCTAGGAGAGGGGTTCTGATTTGTATGAAAAAGTGAATACATTGCATTTTATTGAAATCCCATTCTCACACATAAACATGGCAGCCCCCCAAAAAAACCCCAGTAGATAAATTCTTTTTTATCAGCAATCAGAGTTAAATATTTATATTATTCAATTATTTCAATCTACCTCTTTTTTTAATGGCAAAGTTTCAGGTACTAAATACCCACCTGCTGCCACCTCACTAAGGTGATTGTTCCTTCCTATGGAAAGGAGTTAAATACTCTTATCCTAGAACAAAACAACTGACTCAAATTCAGAAGGCATTATTCGTAACGTTTCCTGTTTCTGATTAGTTATGTCTGCCTCTCCCTCAGTTCTGTGAAGGTCACCGCTGCAATTGTTAACCCAAACACCAGCCTCCGGACAAAATTCCCCAGGACTGAACAGTCACCTCCCTTTTCACAGAACTATTTCCTTTGTTGGTCACCTACCAGACAGTGTGCCAAACAAACCCTTGAAAAGACTTGCAGGACTCCTACAACTAAGCCGACAACACCTGTGCCAAATTGTCAGCCCTGAGATGTAAATGGGACTATAGTTTTACAGTCAGTTGACTATGAGTAAAGTAGATTTATCTTCCAAATGTAGGTGGGCCACTTCCAAATAGTAAAGGCCTAAGGAGCAAAAATTGAAGTTTCCCAGAGTAGAAATTCTGCCTCAAAGCCCTATCTGAGTTCTCAGCCTATTAACCTACCCTAGAGATTTGATTATTACCTCAGTTTCCATTCCAACCTCAGCCCTGCACTGCAAAACTTACACCTGCCGGTCTCCACCACCATGTGAACCAGATCTTTCACCCCCCCACCCCCTTTAGTTATTTTTGTGGAGAAACCTGATTAATCCAACCAATCATAGCACGTGCCGGTGGCGATAATGACATCTACTGTGATAACACATTTTTGAACACTTCAAAATGTAGAACATCTGACTAATCCTGATAAACCTGCAGGGAAACGGATGATAGCCCAACTCTTCTGAATGGACTTTCGTACCAGTGAATTTTATTTATTTTATTTATTTTTGCTGTTATCTCCAGAAGACACAAGGCTCGAGCACCCCAGTCAGAGTCCTCCTGTGTAAATTTCGTGAATTCAGGCAAGGTAAGCTTTAAATTTTCCCCCAGTGTCAGTAGTGCATGAGCCTTAGAAAGTTGCCCAAGCCTCGAATACTTAGATTGCTGTGTCTTTCTGAAATGGCCCCAGGAGAAGTAGGGGTGCTGTTTGCAAAGTCTTCCTCAGTAACTGTACTTTTTGGTGGACAAAGTAAACCAATAAGATCTCTAGGTTTAGCCGTGCAGCTAGACTTGACCTCCACTTAAAAATACTTCTGCATTTTTTTCTAGGTTCCCTTTCCCCGAGAAATGAACAATCACTCACAAATTCATCGACGACTTGTCTAAAGCTTCACAGACCCTCAAAGTCACTTCACACATGGCTAAGGTCTCCAAAATAATCACTGCTTCCAGTAATTTCCATGAGTTATCTCTTTTGATTTTCACAATAACTCTAAGAGGTAAATTCTATTGTGATCATCTCAGTTACAACACACAAAACTGAGACCTGAGAGGTTCAGCAACTTATTGGAAATTACACAGCTCAGAAGTGATGGAGCTGGGAATCAGATCCTGGAAGACAGAGGCACAGCGCACTTCCTGAGATTGGAAGATCGAGACCACACAGTGATTCCTTGATGTCTGGTTTCATTAGTAATTTGATTTCATTCATTTGCACAAGTATTATGTCAAAGATTGCCTTAATGATTAAATTAGAACATGGATACAAAGTGCCCAGCACTGGGCCTCGCACACAGTAAACACTAATCAAACAGGACCATTCCTTGCTATGGCAACAGGGCAGCGCCTTCTCTATAGTCAAGGGTGGTCCCAAACTGTGACCCCATGGGGAAGGGTTCCAGTAACTACAGGAATTGCTCATGAAGCTAGGGACAGCCCTGGTAGAGTAATTCTTCCACATATCTCTGCTCCAGGCCTCAGAGGCCTCCTGGGGCAGTTGGCATGTGGGCATAACTGTCCTCCCTGGCAGTCAGCCCGGCAGCCTCAAGGATTAGGTACCTCCACAAGAAGCTGGGGCCAGTGAAGGCTCTGAGAAGGGCCAGCAGGAGACTTCTCAGCCCTCACGACTGGAGCAGGACTGGGACAGCCCATCTGGGAGTCTTCTGTACAGCAGTGTCTCTGACTTCATGCTTTCTAATTCCTGCTGCCCTAGTACTCCAGAAGGATGTTGCCAAACAGGTTCCAGGGAGAAAAACATTTGGGCCAAATGGTGACTGCAACACAAAGACTGGCCGTTTTGTGCATTGCTGAAGTAGCTACCGATAGCACTGCCCAGTCCAGTAAAAGGCAACCAAGGTTCCTTTTCTATGCCCTTTGTACCTCTTTTCTTTGCCCTTTGTACCTCTGGCCTCTGAAATGTCCTTTCAGGCCTACAAGGTCTCCAGTCAAACCCAAATCTTCCAAGAGAGCTGCATTCGAGCTTGTAACTTTGAAACTCACACAGAAGCTCCTTTCCAAAATCCAAGCCCAGGGTGTGGTCGTGTTCCACCTTTGCCAACAACCAGGACTCAGATGGAAGGAGCCCAGAATTGGCTGTGTTGGTATTGATTTTGCATATAAGAATCCACTCTTGACACATCCACAGCTAATCTTTACAAGGGAAGAACTACCACAG